CAAGGTTTCCAATGAAGCTCCAAGGCCACCAGAAAGAATATACCGAAACCATGTCACCGGAGATTGTGTCTATCTGGCAAGGGGACAAGGCTCAGACAGAAGAGGATGTACCCTGGGCGGCAGCCCTCCAGATGGTTGCTAACAATGATGATTCCCTACAGGCCATCACACCCATGTTCACCTCAGAGGACGTTAGGACCGCCCAGAACGGAGATGAGTCTATCCGTACCATCATCAGATTGAAACAGAGTGGCTGGGACTCGAGGGAGAAAGACAAGAGACAAGTGGGCCCAGGAACACAACAACTAGGGTGGTCAGGCCTCATCCACCCCAGCCTGTAAGCTGAGAGCTGTGGCCCCAGATTATCATCTCTTGACTCAAAGACCCGCAGTGGAAGAAGCACTACCTAGGGAGTCACCTGTCCCTCTAGTGACATCAGAGACCGAGCAAGCACCAGCATGGGCAGAACCATTGCCATCAGTGGAGAACCAGGAACAACCCAGGGATGATGCTGTGAAGCTGAAAGTTCACAGGAGTCTGAGGTGGGGGTACTCCCAGTTCCAGTCCCAGTAAGTGAAGCAGAGCATCCCTTGCAGAGGTCCACATGACCTGTTAAATCCAGGAGTGTGTTCACATACAACCAGCCTGGACAGCCCACATATCAGCCCTGGAGAATGGGAATGAACGCCGTATATGCTTGGGTTCCATACTCCATTCCTGTTTGCTCAATAGATCCGAACTTGTGCTACTATCCTCCATCTGCAGTATGGGCATACTGATCGGGACAAGGACAGTGACACAGCTGTACTTACCCGCTACTGACCCACTATGGACATGCCGGACAGAAAAAAATGACTGTTGGCCATTACGGTACTTACCTGACTGATGCCTAAAAGCCCCTGTAATGGTCTGACAAATGTCTGAGCTGATATCCTTCTGGGCCTACTTCTTTATCTTACCCTGTGGTTAGTTTAGTTCTAGATATCGGGAGACATCTCTGAAGTGGGGGAGAGTGTAATGGAATTGCAGATTATCCTTAGTGAATAGCCACCCCCGTTTTATTTTTTTGATTGGAGCTACCGTGGCTAACTGCCGTGACCATTTCACCACCACACCAATGGTGGGCGCTATCGCGTCTCTGTGGGCGGCTTGGGAGACAGTAGCTCAAGCGCCAGCAGTATTAAACCGCGATCAGCTTGAGCAACACGTAACGTTTCACGTCTCCTTATTGTCACCCACAGCGCTACTCTGCCTGTGGGCCTTGTGCCGGCTCGGATTACCCCTAGGTCGGGGCCGGTAACATACTCACCTGTAAATAAACCTCCCCTGTCAGTAAATGTTGTCTGAGGGTAAGGAAATGACGTAAATGATGTACACGGACCTCATTTGTCAGTACACCTCCTCTATCATGGAACACCGTTAGGGTATAAACCATGAGACAGAATACGTCTCCAAATTGCTTTTTTTTTTTAACCCTCCAGACACAATTAAACGTATGGGACGCCAGCGGTGTACATGCCACGACTGAGGGTATGAGAATGACGTAAATGACGAAGTGATTAAAGCGCCAAAAATCATATCATTGCGCATGAGCAACCCAGCCATATTTTCTGTGCGGTGATAACTTGTGGTGGGCTTAGATAGAAGTAAATAGTTCCTACATTAAACTGCTCACTTCAAAGTCTGTTATCTTGAGTAACCAGGTCATGATTTCTGGTTGAATTTTCTGGTGCTTTAATCACCGCAGAAAGAATGCCATTCATTCCCATTGTATTTGAGAGAAGATGACATTTCTACAGCTAATATCCCCAAAACTCCCAGCAGAACAACTTTAAATTAGTTATTTTAATGTTTATAAAAACAAAAAGTGCACAGTTCTGTAGATTTTATTTGCGGTTTTCAATGCAACATAGACCTCAACCAGGAAACTACTGATCTCTTCAAAATATCGACATATACGGTATCATTTCATCCTATCTGTCATTTGAAAATGTATCGACTTCCGTTGTATTGTGAGTGGATCTGCAGCGTTTTGTTTTGCATGTGTTTTCAGAGTTTGTGTTTTTGGAATTTGCAGCGTGTCGACACTTATCGGCTAGATTGACTGAGTAATTAACTCTACTCTCCCCAGAAATTAGTAGGGCCGACATAAAAAAGTAACATTATTATTTATAGTACAACACATATTCCAGAGCATAGCAGAACACTTTCACGTCTGTCCAGTCAGGTTGGGGAGCATGCACTGGTAGAGCAATTTTCCGTGCTCACCACACTATGAAATGCTGGTTGGCAATCCCCCATGCTGACACACAGTCCAGTCCCACCCTCTGGTCTGCCACATCTGTCTGCCGCGGCCAGGTGTTACATGGGTGTCCCTGTGGCTTGGCCCAGCCACTCGGGACCTCAGCAATGAAGATCCAGCCAGTCAGATCACCCTCAGGGAAATGTGCCACATGGCTGTAGTGTTGTAACTCAGCGTTTCTCAAACCAGTCCAAAAATGTGGATGGTCGGGGGGTCCCCGAGGACTGGTTTGAGAAGCACTGCTGTATCTGACACTCCCTCACAAAAGAGGTTATGTGCCTCATTTAGGACTCCCTGAGCAATTGCTTGTTCAATACAAGGTCAAACGGGCGGTATACAAGGATTCTCTGAAGAGACACAATACCAAAGGAGTCCGGTGTTTGTCTCAGTTCACTGGATAGTAGAGCTGGGCGATATGGCAAAAAAAATCATCACAATTATTTTTCCTGTATTGACCGATATCGATAATTATCAATATTACAGTTTCACAACACTGTTCCATGTAATAATCAATATAATAAAAATAACCATATTCTGACAAATAGAATGAATACATTGAAATAAACAATATTAGTAAACAAATATTTATTTTCCAACAAATTTTACTATTTACATACAAATTTAAATTCCCATAAAATTTTAAAAGGTTATTGATTTTCAAGTATTCAAAGAAACACATAGCTCAAAACAACAAAACCAATAAAGGTAACAATGTGCAAAACACTATAATATTACAAATATGTTAAAGGACAAACATAAAATAAAGCAGGACGGAACTGACTGCAACAAGTATCTGCCTCTATTTTTGGTCTCTTAAAAACTTTTTAAAATTCTGAGGTAGAAAAGTATCTAAACCAAACAAAAAACTTGTATTCAAAAAAATGCCAAATAAGATTAACGTAGTATTGTTTAGGCGGGAGCGAGAG